TTGCCTATTCCACTCAGTTTGCACAGGATTAGACCCTCCAAGATGCTTAACTTCTGTAGGATGTAATTTAATGTTCTTCCGAACAGTTACAGATCCGCTGACTTGCAGTTAACCCTCTTGTATCCAGGAGTTTTTTTTTCATAACAAAATTGTACTTTAAATGATGCAGTAAATTTACTCCTTGGAGTATCCCAAGGAGAAACTTGCTCCCTCAGCAGTGGTAGAAATGGCTTCTTAGGTCCATCAAAGCAACATGATTTTAGGGAGAAAAAGGGACATGAAAGGGCAAAGTATGAAATGGAAATACAAGCAAAAAGGCTGTTTTCAGTGCAGATTTGTACTATTTTTGTAAGTCTACGTCTGCTAACACCCACAGCGAAGTTACTATTTTTGTAACTGCCACTTTGCACTCAGCAAAATTTGATGGATTCGTGTAATGGAATATGTGCACTTTAGATTTTAAGATGTGTGTCATTGTGCATAAATTACTGTACCACGTAAGCAGTGTAGGGTTGTACAACTGAAAATGAAATTTGGTTCAATACAATTTAGTATTCAAAAAAAGCACAAAAAATCTGTCCCTGGCAGATTTTGCACTTTTTTGGTGTTTGACAATCTCAGAGCACTTCATGCACATTTCTGTTGTATGGATTTTAACTGAATTTGTAAATCCACTCTTTAATCTTTACAGAAATAAAAATAGTTCTTAAGTAGTATGACACAGGGTTTCATAGTTGCAAAACCACAGGGTTTAAGTCTGTCTATAAAGTTTTGTGCTTACCCAGATGTGTAATTTATGTCAGCAAAATATCATCAGAACTTGGTAGCATGCTTATAGGAATTTCTATTCGGTAGTTAGTTTCAGTATTTTTACATGAAACAGAGATGGATTTTTTCCTCTTTGCCTTTCTTTCCCCATGTTACTTGTCAAAACAAATAAGCTATATTGAGAGAAAAATTAAACTCTTGTAAAACTTCCCCATGGTTTCAAGGTAGCAAAGGTGGTCTCTGAATTGTAGATAAAATTATAACATCTGACAAACTTCTGATGCAGTTCCCCTAACATAGGGTTATACTTACGATATTGGCTGTGCTTACTGAAAAAGTAGTAGTATTGATTGCATATTTACTTTGCTGTGATGACTTTCATGCCAAATGTCTTCAGTTTACAAGCCAAAAATCATACGTGAGAATCAAGCTCTGTCGTTTCTGTCTCTGAAATGCTTTTCACTAGATAAAGACTTTGAAAGTGGGCAGATGTGGTGGTTGGAGGAGCTCAGAGTATTTAATCTTCCACACTGATTTTCATCTGCCGTGTATCCCAATCCACCTTCTACCTGTATCATCATCACCAGGTTATATGAGTCTCCACAACAGTCCAAAGCCAGGTAGTGTGTCAGCTTATGAAAGCATTAACCAAACTCAGAAGGTATTTGTCTGGCTGCTCTGGGCTGTGAGCAAACCACCAAAAGCCTTCCTGTGCCTTGTACACCTCTCAGCTCATTAGGGCCTGCCAGGCCTTTTGGGTTCCCAGTTTTCTCTACCTTCCATAAACCTCTGGAGGTATTTGCAGTAAAATGATATGCCTGCATTTGATGGAAGGGAAAGTTAAGAACCAAGCCTGAACTTCTCATTTTTACCCAGCTGCTGTAATACCAGCATTGACTTAGGTGGGTAAATGGCCTGAGAGAAGAATGGGAAGAATTGACTTTTGACTTGCTTAAAAATGCGGGGTCAGCTGGGACCAAGACAGGATGTCCAACTCCCTTTCTTTTGCTTCAGCAGTGGAGAAAAAAGTGGGAAGGGGACTTAAGGGAGGAAGACTTTTGATCTAGTAAGTTTTGTGATGATGACACCACTAATTCCTCAGAGTAGCAAGTGTCTTAAGATACAGTGTTCAGGTGTGCTGCATCCCCAACCAGGTGTGTGCTGCCTGACGTGGAGCTTGTCCCCGCTAGATGGGAAAGGCTTCCTGAAGGTGACATCTGGTGCAGCCTCTTGTCGTACAGTCGCGTTCTCGATTTGTCATTTGTTTATCGTTCCAGAGGTTTTCTTAGATGTTGATTCCCTTTCCTTCTGGGTTTTAGTGTTTATTCTGATTTAAATATCTGATATGATAATGATTGGTGTTGCTCTCAGCAGTAGCAATAAATCCTGTGTGTGCACATAGCTGTTAAGTATTCAGCAGTGTTACTGCGTGTCTTTAGTGCTGTAGTTCCTTTTCTGTAATCAGGCAGCTTTTACAGGTTTTTAAGAAGACCTCTAACTTGACAGAGGTTTTAACTACAGTTGTAGGTAGAACGTTCAGGTAGAAAAAGTAAGTTCATATAGTAATTTTCACAGCCCTTAAAATGCACTGGTAGGAATCTGGAGGAGGGACCTTTCCCCTTTCCTCCAGACTTCGACTTAGTGTACACTGTAAAATCTGCACAGAGATTTCTGATGTGTGAAGATTTAATTTTAAAACTGTAGAACCAACAACTTTCTTTAAACATTTTATATTGTGTGCTAAATATTCATATGCCTTTTAAAGTCAGATATAGTCCACTGCATTTCTTGCTTTTGCACTACTGAAGAAGTTTTGTACTGAATAGTAGAAGTCGATGCTACTTACACTTCAAGTTTGAACTGATGGAATTTGAATAGAAAATATTTTCACAGTGTTGGAAAATTTCATTTTCCCGTCTGAAAAAGCAAAGCTGAGCGCAACGCCTATGCCAAGACTCTTGTGCTGTAAACTGAATATATCATTTGTGTGGAACATGCAATGTTACACTTCTGTGTGGTAAAACCTTGCAGTGTTAGTTATTCTCTTTGTTGCACTTGACATACCATGTCTTGTTTTATTCACACTGTGGATTTGATTTTCCAGTGTAAAACCAAAGCAAACAAACAAAAAGAAATCATGCAATGTATTCAATTTCCTCAATTGGTGTCATAAACTTTCTTTTGATGTGAACTTTTTCTTTGCTTCTCTTTGTTCCAATCTTCTATTTTGCAATAAACATTTTGACAGTAAATTTTATGCATCTGTGTCACTGTGTAAAATGCTGGTGTTTCAAAACGTTCCTTATTGTCTACTGGTTTAAGTCATGTTTTTGTATTACTCACGGTGTGACATTTCCCCTTTATTCTATATTTAAAAAAAGAGAAAATTGAAATAATATGGAACATATTCTGCCACTGGTTGTATTTAAACACAGGGAAAGCTGAAAAAATCCACTGTACAACTAAAAATGTAATATTGGACTTCTGCATTAAATGATTGAGTTGTACAAGTTATTGTACCAGGCTCTTCCTGCAGCACCAGCTGGTTTGACTATAAGTACATACAAACGACACAACCCAGTGAGGGTGTTCTTGATTACCATTTGCCCTTCCTTGTGCTTAGGTGTTTCCCCCAGCATCACTTTTGCCCCACAGCATCCTGCCCAGGCTGCAGGTTGCTGTCAGTATAGGGAATGCCTGACAGCAGGTAGGTTGAGAAGATTGATTGCAAGTGTGGTGTAGTAGTCAGGAAGGTCTCATTTTTGTGAGGCAGGTACATCTTGCTTTCTGATGCCTTTGGCTCTGTCCCCTTCAGGGAAACAGTGGGCAAAGGGGTGGGTTTGAGGACCCGCTAGATCCTCCACGCAGAGGTGACTCTAGCTGGTCTCATGAATTGTTTGTGCCCAGCAAGATTGGAGTAAGACATTGGTGGAGGAAGAGGAAGACAATCTGAAAAGTCCTCAAAGTGGGGTGGGCAGCAAAAAGTCTATAGATACGGAGGCAGAAGTCAAGGGATGTCAGGCAATCACAAGTCCTTCAGTGGGGGTTTCACATGGGTGCTGTGAAGGGTGTTTTACAGTGATGGCTGAAAGTTGTGAGCAGATTACACTAGACCCTGGTGTCGTGCGTGGAGAGCCAGGGAAGTGCTAAGGAAGTGCCAGGAAGGCACCTAAGGAGCAACTCTGTCCTGGGGCTCAGTATTCAGCTGGAGGTGGGTAGGGGTGAGTGCCTGCTGAGGAGGCGTGCTTGGCTTGTGGGTGGAGGCTGGAGAACTCAGGGGTGGCAGAGCTCTCTGGAGGAGGGAACGAAGCCATGGGGGCTAAGGGTAACAGAGCTGAGTCTCTTGTTAATCACTGGTATCTACATCAAAGAAATTGCAACTACATTATGGTGGTGAGCTCCTGGGAAATGCTGACAGTCCAAATACGGATATACACCAATTAATGTTAACTCTTTGAGCTGGATAAAAATGCCAAGAAGCTGAAGCTTGGGATACTATGTGCTTGAATGAGTAAAATGGCAATCCCTATTACAGTGACATCTCCTCTGTCAGTTTTCAAATCATCCCAGAATTTTGTTTAATGCAGCCGTTCCCCTGTGCATCCTCCATGGTTTACTAGTGCTTCAAGAGTGAACACCATTTTGCATCCAGTGTTGGAGGAGGCTGGGAATTGCTGCACTCCCCCAGCCTCAGGGGAGCAGTTAAAATGTTGGTAGAAACCAAGAGAGACTTGTCTGTACATGGAGAGGAAGACTAGCTGTAGAGGCCAGACTCCAAATTCTGCTTTCATTGCTGTCCAGTGACAGTTTTCTTTCCTTTTGTAGAAAATATCCATCATTTGGGAGGGAGTCATAATCACAGCATTATTTTCATTGCAAAAATCGAAACAGCAAAAGCCTTCCCAAGCGTCAGTGCCAAGAGGAGAGACAGTTAGAGTCTCTTGCCATCAGACAGTTTAGCTTTGCTTCCTAAGTTGTTTCTTTTGGGGATCTGCTGGTAACTCTATCTGCATAGAGTGATGGGATCGATTTAACACCAACAGCATATTGATGGAGCCAGCCCATAATCAGTGTGAATCTAGTGGTTTAGTACGTCAGTATGAGTCACAGCCTAAGTCCTGTACTTTGCAGGGAAAAAGGAACAGAATAAAATCAGCCCCCAGAGTAAAATTTGGGTGGAGGGGATAAAAATGGTCAGATGGTTTTCTTTTCAATTCATATCTCTCACACAGTTGCTGCCCTCCTTTGATATTTGTGCATGGACCGAAGAAGATGTGGTGAGTATTTTGTGTTAATGTGGCCAGCATCGTGCTGCTGGAGCTCTCTTAGCATCTTACAGTGGGTACAGAGGGCGGGGAGGCCGGATCAGAACATCACCAGGTGAGATTTTACTGTTGTTTGTTTGGTGAAACTTGTGTCCTAGAGAGGGTTTAAAATGACCGTAAGTAAATTAAGGACTTGAGTTACCATCATAAAACAGCCACATTCTCCAAAGGCCAGAAAATAATGGGAGCTGGGAGCTGTCAGCAGCAAGGAGGGCATTCCTGAGTCACTGTTTAAGGGATGTGAAAGTGCCCGAAGACCTGATCCTGGACAGGACGAAAGAGTTTGGAAGGTTTTATCCCACTGTGTGCCACCTGGACTGAAATTAACCAAAAAAAAGTGAAGGAGGTTTTAAGGCATGTGGAATCTCTTCCATATAAAAAAAATGGCATTGAGTCTTTTTTACCATGTTATTTGATTAAAAGGCTAAACAAGACACATCAGTGGTTTATCTCTGGCATAGTGATGTGTCATGATGATTTTAATGTCCTATCTGGCAGTCTCTGTGTACTGTGCATCATGGGGCTGTTTAGCTGATGTTTATTGAAAGACTGTCTGGAAAGCCAGTGCAAAAGCCGTAACAGCCCTGGCTCCTTCACTTCAGCTCTTTTAGCTCATGACATCACTCAGCTGCTGCTTTGGTCATTTCTCTTCTTCATGACAATAAAATGAGGAAGGTGGCTGCAAAATGGAAGGCAGTTTTGAAAAGCTAAATAGAAGTAATCAACTGTATTGATGAATCTCGAGTCCTTTAAACCAGAGTGAGAAATATTTTTAAATTTTGTCTTAAAAAAGAATGTACTTGTGGACTCCGAATAACTGTAATACCAAATGTTGGTAATGTGAACTTCAAGATTGATTCCTCTTTCTTTGCAGTTTTTCTGGATGCAACAACTTACTAGAAAAGGTAAAAGCTATTCATATGTACTTTCATATTCACATATATGAACATATATACATTTGTTCATTTTTCCCCCTCCAGTAAAGTACCCTATGCATTTCTGAATAACCTCTTTTATCTTAAGGCGATGCTTCTGGTGAAATGAGTGTCTATGCTAGCTTGTTTAAGGAACATCATATCACTGGGAAACAACTGCTTCTTCTAGAAGAAGAGGATTTAAAGGACATGGGAATTGTTTCCAGAGGACACATCATCCATTTAAAGGTATCATTAGCATATATTGAATGTTGCAGTAGGTTATAGGTTCTAGTGTGAACATTAAGAAGGAGTCTTTGAGTTTTCAGTAGTGTTAACAGAGTGACAGAGCTACATAGAGAACATATTTGGTATCTAAAATAAATAGTTACAGGTTCATGTCGATCTAGAACCCAAAGCAACCTGAGCATCTTATGAGGCACAAAAACGTGCTGTTATCTTTATATTCCTCTGTAGTTCTTGGTTTTCCTGTGAGCTAGACTGGCAGTTCTGCTACAGATTCACGTAGGAGGGCCCAGCAGAAAACTTGGGTATATTCAGAGAGAGTTTGCTTTAGCTGAGGGAGAAGCAGATACTAAAACAGTTATTTGAACTGAAATCTCTGAACTTCTTAACTTTTGTATCTCATTTATAGTGTAAAGCATACTTGGACTAAACTCCATTGGACAAACTTTAAAGCTGATTGACAGGTTTCTTTCAGAGGCTCTTTCAGAGCTTCGGAAAGCTCTGTTTCACAGTGTTTTAAATATCTAATTGTTTGTAATGAATTAGGAAAATCATGGTCTGGAAAATGTGATCAGACAGCAGTAATGGTATTAATACTGTAGCCACCGGAGAGAGTTCAGTTTTCTGGCAGCTTTGGAAAAGGGTTTCTCTAAAAGCAGCATCTATAATTCTGCTGGGTCTCAATTATTTTAGATCACAATTTGCTAGTAAAGAGATACTTGTATCCTAATTGCTAGTCCTGCAAATTTAGCTTCATAAGTCACACAGATTTATTCCCCTTTTGCTCATCAGCCATTTTTTCCATGCCCACACACCATTACTGATATATTTAATTTACGTTTCCTACAGGGAAAATTATTGAAACTTAATAAAGTCAATAATGCCCAAAATGAATGATTTCAGCTTCCTGGGTTGATTGAGCATAAATAAAAACAACAAAAACAACCCCCCAAACATCTCTTTCTCTGATTAAGCAGATCTGATTCTGAATGCAAAATGGGGCCAATCTACCATGACAGTTTCCAGAACAGGGCTGTATTTTAAACTCTTCCCACATGCCCTGATGTATCCACAGTGGAAAACACAGTGCACATGGAGTTTCACTGTTTTTCATGTTGGTATTTGCGGTATGAGATACTAAATAACTCCCATCTGATTTTGTTGATTTTTTTTCCTAGACTGCTATCGAGAAGTTAACCCATGACTACCTAAATCTATTTCATTTTCCGCCATTAATTAAGGTAAGTTGCATTGTTTATATAAGAACTGCTTCTTGTGTTAATATGAATATTTTATTGTTCTCATGTCTCAACTTTCTCCCATTCAGGGGAGGGCGAAGCAGCAGTTCCTACATGGAGTTGTAACAAATGCAAAGGGTCAACAGCAGTGATGGGTCAAAACAAGTCAGAACAAGTAATAAGATAATAAAAGTTGTTTTCAATGAGGCTCTAAGATTTTATCGTGGAACCAGTGGAATTAAATCAGAAGGCTAGTGGTTGCAATTCCTTTGCTGTCATTAATCAGAAATTACTTTTAAGAGCTATTCCTCCAAACTGGTGCCACTGACTGCTCACCACTGAAGAACAGCAGACTCCTGGCCCAGACCAAGCCCATCATTCCTCAGTTAGTAAATGTTATAGGAAAGAAGGATGATTTATAATGTCTGGTCACCCTTATGTTAACCTGTTGGTTTTCTGATACATGTAACAAGAGCCATGCAAAAGGCAGAGAGTGTTTGAGAACCTTGGGGTTACTAAAACTAATATTTCCCTGATTTAGTTCAGTGAACTAATCAGCAATTCTAGACCCCAAAGCCTGAAGTAGCTTTTTTAGTCATAATTTATTGCACAGCTATAGACTGAAATCCACTTACAGGAAATTTGCATATAGCAAAACTCTGTTCCCTGAAGGGGAAAATGAAAATCAGGGCTTTGCTGCCATGCTGTGCCAGCTGCAATTCCAGTGGCAGAGGCTGCCACAATACTCACAGACACCATGCTGTGCCAGAGCAGCTTGGCCAAGAGCAGAAATTGTGCAGCATCTCCCAGATGCCACCCACTGCACGCCCTAAACCCATACAGAAGCCATGGCCCCTCTTGAAGTATGATGCCTCCTTCCTGCTGCCTGCCAGTCTTGTAGCATCTGAAAGGCAAATCCTTTATGCCACCAAAGGCTGTACTCATGTCTCCCAGTGGATTGTCCTAGATGTGGAGTCTCACTTTGCCTTTTTTTTTTGGCAGGATTCTGCAGGTGGAACTGAAGAAAACATAGAGAAAGTAGTGAATCTTGAACTTGTTTTTGGTTATCACTTGAAACCGGGAAATGGTCCAAAGGTAAGCTGTTTAACAGTCCAGTATCTTCTGGACACAAAAGGGTAAATTGGCATGAGAATCCTCTGGTTGTGGAAAGTGCCGACTGAATGTCAAGGTGGCCAGTGAGACTGCACTGGTGATGGGGAACTGCATCCCAGAGCAGGCAAGAAAGAGAAGAGTGGCACAGAAACCTTTAAAAAAAAGCTGCTGTTTCCTTCTGAGCAATTTTTTTAACTGTTATTTTTGAAGTTCTGGATTTCGCTTTGTTCCTTTTATCCCAATGGGTGTGAAATAACAGTCCCTTTATGAAAAGAAGCTCCACTGACAGTTGAGCGGTGCTCTTTGCCTGATATTGGTGGACAAACTGCTACTTTTGTCTCAGCAGAAAGGAGATACCGTTCTATGCGTCCAAGAAGAGTTTGGAAAATACGTGGTATGCATGGCTGCTGGCTGGGCAGGACAGGACTGGTTCTGGTGGGGACTGTGCCCTCATGGTGCTTGGGAAGGAGGGAGGGGTAGTTGCAGCTCATTGCTGATAGCGAAACTACTGTGCATCAGCTGGTAAAAGGCAGTTGCCAGCATACCACATCCTAATCAAACCTCAACTCCAAGCCGAGCTGGTTCAAGGATCTCTCATTAGACCCTGTGTAATAGGAGCACTGATGACTCCGAATGTTCCAGCAAAAGATTTCCACCACGTTGTTTTTTCTCGAGAGTGAGGTTTGTCCCATGCTTTTTGTTTTCTTTATCCAGCTTGCCATGGACTCTGAGTTCAAGGGGTTTAGAATTAATCATCTACGTGGAAATGGTGTGCAAAGCATTTCTGAGCTGGAGTCAGGGGTTGTGACAGCAGGATTTGTTTCCTTTTGTATTTGATAAATCTGCATTGTGTGTCCACCCTAAACTTGTGGGAGTCTGACTTTCATCTTGTGTTATCTGACTGCTTTGCTTTCAGGGCATATTGTTTGCAGAAGTCTCTTGATTTCTGTACTTGGTGGTGCTTGCAGAGAAAGCATTTAGGTTTGAACTTAGTAGGAACTTGTACTGAAATCATTTCATCAATTTGAAAAAGCTTTTTGTCTGGAGATTTCCTTTTTTAGTTTGTTTCTTTTATCCTAAGTACCTTTTTCCCCTATAAAAATCTTCTTTATCAGTATGTGAATTACTTAGACTGTCTCAGTGTACTTGAATGCATGTTGCTTATGCTGCTGTACAGCTGCTTTTTTGTAGGTGTGCATGTGCATTTTTGTCTCCCATGTGCAACTAACTCTTCAAAGAACTAAACATCCATGAAATAGCTCATATCTCCCTTCCATTTCCAATATGGGCTGTGAGCCAAAGTGCAGAGAGGTGAGCAACTGCCCCTGGGAAAGAGCAAGAGAAGGAACAAATAGACCTGTGAGCACTGGGCAGAAATTCGTGTTGTACTAACACCTCCCCAAGTCTGACGATGAGTAGATGTTTCAGCCGTGACAGCAAAATTTGCAGATGAGACAGTGTGCCAGAGTCTGTGGGACAGAAGCTGAATTTTTATGGGAGTACAGAGTTAGTTCAATGGGCCTGTGTAGTGCTGACATAACCTCTGCAGGTTTCTGACAACCTTTTTTTATTTGGTCCTGTCTTCCCTGTGAGCTCCTAAATGGTCCTATCTGCTCTGGGTGCTGTTGGGCCCCCTTTCTAAGGAAGCCATTCCCTCTGAAGCCGTGGTTGCATGCCAGGCATGCCTTCCCTGTCAGCTGCCTTGCTGCAGCACCCTGTGTGCTTAGTGATGTCATTCCAGGGAATGTGCAGTTTGTCACCTGAATGGGCCTGGGCTGAAAACATCTGTCTGAGATTTGCACATAAACTTGTACCTCTCTTTAAAGATGTTGCAGCAGAGCCAGTTTTAAAAAGTGGACTGGAAGGAGTAGACCACCTGAGCTTTTGGGCAGGATGCTGGGGCCAACATGAGCAAGTAATTTGCTTTAAACATAACAGTAACAAAGACTGGTGTGGTACATACAATACAGAAAATTTGGCTAGCTTGCTTCTTTGAAAACCCCTGGATACAATCTTCTAGCTCCCCTAGAGGCTGCTCTGAGCCAGCTACTGCTGCCATCCAGATTTGTTCCAAAATGAACTGGAGATTGAGAGTAAACCAGGATCGAGGGGTTTAAACTTCTTTTTTACTGTCCCGCTTTTGTAAAATAGTGGTGCCTGTTCCTGTAAAACTGGGTCAGCAGAAGCACTTGGGATCATACCTTCCACCATCTTTATAGCTAAAAAGCTGGACTAAATTAGTTTAAAAATAAATTTCTCAGAGGAACTTTACCCCAATCAGTCCCTATAGCCAGCTACCTAGCTAAGAAGCATTTTTCCTGTTTTAGCCATGAGGAAAAAGAGGCAGTGAGCTCAAATCTGGGTTATGCATTGAGGGTATGCATTCCCTGGGTGATGTGGAGGCTGTTAGACTGGTGTACATCGGAGGAGGCCTTTAGGCTCAGCTAGGAGGTGGTGTAGTGCAGCAGGGAGGGCTCTGTACAGGGGAACTGGTCATGCTGAAAGGTTTTACACCAGGCTGGCTCTGTGCTGGTCTCCTGGGCTGAGTTCCCGTTAGTTATTGTAGAACATTTCCTGGTGTAGTTGTGCCTGGAAGCAAGCCCACCCAGGCCATCAGAGGTGGCTCTGCTGAAGCCTGGGACAGGATGGACGTGTGGGACAAAAGTGCTCTCCTGATTCAAATTAAAGCTCTGGCGTGGGTGCAGCATTGGTGTGCAGCGTGACATACTGGGTAGAAAAGTGCTGGATGAACTGACCCAGGGCACAGAAACCATTTCAGGGGTGCCGGTTATTTCAGATGTGTTTGGCTGGTCAGGGCGCACAGCATCATCTCCAGTGTGAAAATATGGTTCCTCAGGGCACAGTTGTCCCCTCCTTGGCACTGCACCATGCCCCATCAGCACAGCCAGTGCCTTAGGAATGGCAGTGCCTTTTACTGAGGATGCTGGTGGATATGCTTCAGGTCAGCATTTGAATGTTCAGCCTTGTCTGTGCACTGAATGAAACACTGACTTCCCAGCACACATCTTTACCAGCCTCATATTTGTTATCTAATTTAAACTGCATCTTGTAGCGGATTATGTTGGTTTCCACCAGCTGACAGATGCAGTCATTTCATTACAGTTTCCTTCCCTTTTTAGCTACGTCTTTGGAGGCAATAAAAGCTCAGTTGACCTTTGTGCTCTCCGAATGCATAAGGAGTGAGCATTGCAAAACTAACCTGGTTTTTAGAGGTTTCTTTTCTGACTCTTGTAGTTCAAGTTATGTGGTTACTTCCATTCACTGCCTTTTAATGACCTTTCTGTACACAATTCCTGCTGAGCTTAAAGGTGATAGATTTAGACTTTTTTTTTTTTTTCCACAAATTAAAAAAAAAAAATAGGGGACCACCAATTAACTCCAACATGGAAGGTAAAACAACAAGCCCTGGCAATTGTGGCTTGAACTGATTTGCAGAACTGCAGAGGGTATTTTCAATGGCTTTCTCATCCTTGGTGGCTCATTAAAATTTTCCAATCAGGGAAAGGTGCCTGAGCTATGTTGGCTCTGCACTGATGAATCACCCAACCCCGTGTGAAGAATGGCTTACAGTCTTTTTGCCTTCTATTGATGCATTCTTTAGTTTTGGTCCTCAAAAGGGCAGATTTCACCATGCCATTGAATGTTCTCATTTTTTACCTGGTATGTCATAATTTGACCTATATCCGAACACGAAGCCTTGAAGTTGGCTCACCATTTCACCTTATTTTTCCCCAGTTACCTCTCCCTCTATTTGACAAGGTAAGGAGCAGAGCCTCTTCAAAACTGTCTGCTGACTCTGTGAACTATTTTCTAGCCTTGAATATCCAAACTGGGATATATTTTAATGCTATTATTTAAATGCGTAGTGCAGAAGTGAATATACTATTAATGCTACTTTAGAGAGGTGTTTTGACCAGCTCTTCATGTGGAGAAGCCCAGGCTGGCAAAAGGCAGGTAGTACCAGAAAAAACAGTACTGAAAAAATTGTAACTGGAATGTACTTTCACAAGTGCTTGAGACCATTTCTGCTGCCTTTTCTCCTCCACTCTCCCGCTATATCAACACTCACAAATCCTTTCTTTACGTTCTTAAAAATAAAGCAAGGGCCAAGGTCTAAAATTTGAAATTCTACTTTTGTAGTTTTTAGGTCGCATATATTTCCCATGCTTTGTAGGTATTTTAACCCGCTTCAGTAAAGTAAAGCTGGAAGAGGAATTGTTTTTATCTGACCCTTCCTTTACAAGATAATTGCAAGTACCTTGACTTTCTAACATGGGGTTATTTAACCTTATCTCAAAACCTCATCTTCTAAATCCTCTCTCTTTAATTCCATCTCAAAGCACAATGCTTTCAGGATTAAAGACTAAGAGTTACTGCAAGAATCAGAGTAACTGTGTTTGTGTGCAATTTTCGTAGATTTGCTCCTATTCTAACAAGTAGTCAGTAAAGGGGTAAACTCTTTGTGAAGGATCACAAAAAATGACCTAAGCTGTAAAGTAAAACCAAGCCACATTAAAATATTGCCAGCACCACTAAGAACTGATTAATATAGTCTGTCAAGAAGGTTAATCAGTGTAGGTGAATCAGAGCTCCTTGTATTCTTTCAAAAAAGCTTTTCTGGACCATGTATTGTTTTTGCATGAGGTGGAGCTGGTATAACTTCATCATCTCCATCATCCACTGGGATTGCTCCAGCTGTAGCATGCATGTGTAACTGAGGTCAAACTCAAGCCAATACCTTTGATAATCCTTGTGTAGGCAGTGCTATACCAGGAATTCCCATTAGAAGTTATTCCACAGCCCTAAAGAGCCATGTAGACTTTTCAGCTAGGTGATTTGCTCACTTGACTTTCTAAACTTTTTAATCTCAAGATTTATGTTTATACCTTGATCACTGAATTAACTTGCTGCCTTCCACACATTATCTCTCACATGCAGCCTTGGTCATGGATGTGTCTGCA